CTACCCACCAAACCATAAACCCACTTATTCCAACACATAATATGAATTGCAAATACGACATTCAGTCGTACACCTAGCTTTGAACTGGTCCATTCGTGAACCTTAGTCAACTAGAATCTTAGCCAATCGAAGAACCCCCCATAGAAGAACATGCAGTTGTAGGTCTCCCAACTGAATTTTTTGATCCTTTTAGTGTAGACGAAGATGAAATCCTAGCACAAGATTAGGATGATGAACAAGAATCGGAGCCACTTGTAAACATTCCAGCATTAGAACCATACTTACCATACAACCCACCTCAACATTTTCTAGACTTCCTAACTCACATAAATGAACATGACTTTGAGTTTAGGCATGTTATAGATCGAGAAACGGTAGTCTATCAACCCGGAACACTATTTGTTAGTCACTGCTTAATCACAAAAGAACAAGTGTAAGACACAATCAACAGATTTCATGGCGACTATGACTGGAGATTTCGAGCAATATTGCACACCAAAGAGCAATATTGGGAGATAAAGAAGCTGGAAGGGCGCCACACATGTGTTTGCCCACTGATTTCATAGTATCAAAATAAGTTGGGGTCACGAATGATTTCCCAAACCATTCATGAAATTATTGAGGCTGATCCTTCCAAACCCATCTCAATCATCATAGCCCGCATAAAGTTAACAATGGGTTATACTATCAGCTATTGAAATGGATAGTTGGCTAAACAACTAGCAATTGAAGCATTTTTGGAAATTATGAGGAGTCATATCACAAGTTACCTAGTATGTTGCTAGCAATGCAACTGTATGTTCTGGGCTTCATTTGAAAGTTGAGTACACAACTGACATACAAAGGTGACTTGTTGGATGAGGACAATGTACATTTTCTTCAAGAGGCTATTTTGGACATTCAAGCCATGCATTGATAGTTTTTCTCACTAGAAACCAATTATTCAAATGGATGGAATATTTTTGTACAAAAAGTACAAAGGAACGTTATTGGTGGTAGTTGCGCAAGACGGCCACAACAACATAATTTCAATTGTCTTTGTTGTGGTTGAAGGTGAAACCGACGATGCATGATTTTTTTTTAAGAAACCTACGGAGGTATGTAACACCACAAGAAGGGTTGTGTCTCATTTCGGATCGTCATGAAATGAAAGTGGTTGGACAAAAAACAATTTTGTCCATGTGTATTGCACAAAACTTCATGCGACGATTCAAAAACGTTGTACTAAAGAAAGATGTTGTCAATATGGGTAATTTTAATTTTTTCTTTACTCTATATTATCATTAATGCTTTTTATAGTTAATATTACTTTTTACACTTGGTTAGCTAGTTATACTAATTTAATTTATAAACTTTTTTCCGGCATATGGGATGATTGAGCCAAGATTCTTTTACTATTACAACATAGTAAAAGATAATAATCTAGAAGCAACACAATGGTTGGACAACATCCCAAGGGACAAATGGATGCTTGCACGAGACAACGAACGACGCTAGGGACACATGACAACAAACCTGGCAGAGTCAATTTACTCGATCCTAGAAAAACAAGAAATCTCCCTATTTGCTCCATGGTAATGGCGACATGTGCCCATTGCAACAAATTATTCATCAAGAGAGGCTGGGAGGTAGATGCCATGATTCATGTTGGACATGTCTACTTGGAGGTTGCATCAAAAACAATTCAAGATGCACAATCAAAGGCAAACACTCATAGAGTGATCACCTTTGACAGAATAAGCACAAGAATTTTAGTGGAAGAGACACAACATCCGGGAGAAGTTTGACCAGCAGTGAGATTTATAGTAAGGTTAGATGAGTTGTGGTGTGATTGTGGCAAGTTTCAAAAATTTCACATCACATGCTTGCATGTACTTGCTTCATGCTTACACGCACACCACAACCTTAACATCTACATATCTTCCGTCTATACCTTACAACAAGTTTATAAGGTATACGAAAGACAATTTGGAGAACTCAGACACGAAGACCATTAGCCAACTTATATAGGCCCAATTTTGTGCCCAAATCCAGAATTGAAAAGAACTTCCAAGGATCGACCCAAGTCAAGTAGAATAAGAATAGAGATGGACATTAGAGAATAACAAAGTCATGCAAAAAATTGTTTCTATTGTCACACCCCTAATTACTCAAGGAAAACATACCCAAACATTGCTCATGTATCTACTTCTCATCATTGATTTATGTTTCCTAGAACTTATTTTCTTCCATGTATCATTTCCAAAAGAATGTTAGTAATTTAACCACTTTCTTGCAACTTACAATTACAATTTAATTATTAGTTTTTATTTCAATTGGTGATATAATTATCTAATCTAATTTTTAATAAACTTTTCAAATCAAATTAATGTTATTATCAACAATAATGTTTAAAAATTATTATTAAATATGTTTTAAATATTTTTATTTAATATTTAAATAAATATCTTTTTGGTAATTATCAATAACAATGTTTTATATCAATAACAATAACAATGTTGTTTAATTTTATCTTTTATAATTTCATAATTAATTTTTATCAATAAAAATTAATATTTAATATAGCATAATACATTTTTATGATTTATGATTTATATTAAATTTATATACATAATATTATTTAATAATTTTATTAATATTAATAACAAAAAAAAATTATTAAAATATTAAAACTCTAATTTTAAAAAAATAATTAACTATAAATATTAATACACAATAATATTTAATATTAGTTAACTTATTTTATTTAAATAAAATTTTTATTCATAATTATTTTATCATATTAATATTATAAATTATTAAAAAAATATTTAAATAAATATATAAACATAATATTATTTTTATTTTTATTAACTTTGTACACAAATTTTATTTATTATTTTAAAAAAATTAAATTATCATTTTACAAAAAATTACATTTAAAAAAAATAAAAATAAAAATCTTGCTTGAAATTCGACTTTTCAGGGACCAAATTCTAACAAGTTTTTGCAACCAGAGAGACTACCACGAAGGTCATAATTCGGCTCTCCGAGAACCGAGTTCTGACCATGAACAATGAACAAGTCCATTTGGGTAAATAAAGTGGGGATGGGTACAATTGGGTATACTTATTTATTTTATATTAAATTAGAAAAAAAATCACTGTCTAAGAACTCAATCGTGGAGAGACACAAAGAAAATATTATTTAATCTATATAATAGAAAATATATATTATTAAAGTATATATAAAAATATTATTAAAAAAATAAATTAATTATGAATAGCTAATTAATTGATAGATGATTTTTCACCTTTCAAGAAAAATCAATAAGAAATGTTGACATAAAATCATAAATAAAATTTGTCTAAAACTTACTATTTTTCCTTTATATTTAATTTTTATGACTCTTTTTATTTTCGTCTTCTTTTAGTGAACTTTCTCTTTTTAGTCATCACAAACTTCTTACTGATGTGTCATTATTATTATGGATTTTTTTTTCCATTATACAATTATCTTTAAGAATAATTCTTAAACTCATACAAAAGAAGTATACCATAAATTAAATCATTTTTATTTAATAAATATGTGTATGATAATTTGTCATTACATATTTAAATTTAAATTTGAGAATTGAAGTCATAGACAATATTTAAATAATTTATAAAAGCATTATTTTTTTTATTCACCAATGACATAAAAACAATCATAACTTATCATGTAAGACGCTTAAACAATCATAACAATCATGGTGTGATATGGTGGGTCAAGAAAATTGTATTACATTTTGGTAAAAGTTTTGACATGTAATATTTGCATTTGCGGGAATATGGATTGAAGTATTTTTTTTTAGTCTCAATAATTTTACTTACTTTATCTTTTAGTTTCTATAATTTAAAATAGATATTTTTAGTCCCTATATTTATCTTTCTCAACCATTTTTAGTTATTTTAGTTTAAGATAGATCTTTTTAGTCTCTATACTTACAATTTTTTAATCTTTTTAATATCTATAGTTAATATTTTTATAATGTTGTCTCTTTTGTATTGACGTGACAAAGGTATTAATTTAATTTTGTGTATTTGATGTTGAATTTATTTTGATGAAGTTACTTTGTATTAGGTTTCTCATGCCTTTTTTGTACACTTATTTGCGACGCCTACTTTTGCGATATTATTTTTTATCTTTACAAAATTAAAATTTTCTACAACACAAAACAGACAATATTACAAACAAAATTAACAATAGAGATAAAAGATTAAAAAATTGCAAGCACGAGAACTAAAAAGATTTATCTTAAACTATAAGGAAAAAAGATTGAAAAATATAGGAAAAATTGGACTCACCTTCTCTAAGGTATGTTTAAATGACACATCTCCCAACTAGTTTTTAAAAACAACTCACCTCCCCTAAAGATCTATTTAAATGACATGTTACTAGATAACATGAGAGAAAAAGAAAATATAAAAATTAATTCATATTTTTTCATTTATATACATGTTTATCTATCATTTCTGAAATACATATAATGTTATGTCTTCTTTATGAAAATTTTCATTGTTCAATTTTGAAATTAATAATTTGCCATATTGTTCTTTGAAATTGTTTCTTGAAATTGGTATATTTATTAAATCACAATGACCATGATAGTTGGAATGTAATTTGGAAGTTTAAAGTGAGTAAAAAATCAAGTCTCGTTTAATACTTGCATTAATAATTTGTTATTTCTTAATAGTGCACAAATAACCTTATCTTTATATAAGGAATTGTTTTGTCACTTAGATAAATAAATTAGGAAGGTTAGTGTTCACTTATTAAAAATTAGAAGAGGTGTATGTCATTTAAAGAGACCTCAAGGAAGATCGGTGCATTTTTTTCAAAAAAGATAAGTATAAAAATTAAAATACCTATTTTAAACTATAAGAATTAAAAGATAAATTAAGTGAAATTATAAGGAATAAAAAAATATTTTAACCAGGAATAAAATACAAAACTGAAATGAAAACCTTATTAGGAGATTTATTTACCAGGAAAATTATAGGGGTAAAAGAACAAGAATGCAATGAATTTACCTATTATATCAGTACAAAAGAATTATAGTTCCATAACAAGTGTCGAATGATCAGAGCATGAAAAAAAACACAATGAATTTTTAGCAACACAAGAAAAAATATTGGCATTTAGGGATGCCCTTTGATCCAAGTAGGATCTGATGCCAGATAAATTGCTTGGACTTTGATCTCATGCACAGCCTCTGTTATCAAATTGATCAACAGCTGCTAACATTAACAGTTGAATTAGTAATGCTCTTGATATATTGCTCCAAATTCTGCTCTCCATGCCTGATCATCATACGTATAGGAGGAAGTTGCATTGTGTGCCACATCAGAATCCTCTCTATACAGTGGTTGCAGTGCAGACTGTGGTAATTTGCTCTCTGTAATGTACTGCTTCATGGTATTAATCTCTGTCTTGTGTTTTCTTTTCAGCTTCTCAATTTGCATCTTTAAATCTTCATTATCTTGTTGCACATTTGCAAGGTTCTCCTGTATAACATGAGAAATATAATATTCAAGAAATGAATTAGAAATGTCTTAAGACAGAACTTATGCTGAATCTTCTAAATCAGAAATGTGTTGAGAGTTAAGACAGAACAATTCATTATGTATTTCCTTATTCCTTATACTATATTCTTTCCTTGTTAAATTTGTATTATTTTATGCAACTCCCTTTCTTTTTCTTGTTTATTTGGTAAGGTGTGTCAACACTCAACACCATCCCAAATTAACTAGTGAATTAACTATTTAACACCCTCGTAATATGAGGCACCAATTTGGGACCCTTTTATGAGATAGAATTGTACCTCTGCAACAGCTGCTACATGTTCAGCTTCTCTTAGTCTAACAAGTAGTTCTCCAGCAGCCTGAACAGCTTCAGCAGTATCGCGAAGTTGAATCTTCAAGCTCTGGTTCTCCTTTTTCAATAATTTGGATTCCCTTTCTCTTTCCACCCTCAATGCTGAAAGCTCGGCAGAAAGTGATTTGGCAAAGCGCGCATGACCTTTCTTCGAGGCTTTTGCTGCTGCCTTCTTCACCTCTGCTATCCCTTCCATCATAGCATCATGCTTAGCAACCAAGTCATCATATTTTTCTTGTAGATCAGCATAGTGTTCTACCATTCTAGCATGTCCCATAACTGCCCTCTTTAGAGCATCATCCGTCTCAGCTGTGCACTTCTTCTCAGACTTCAGTTCCATCTCCAACCTCTCTGTACGCTGGCGGTAGGACTCAAGATCAGCTCTAAGCTCATCAGTCAGACAAATCCACTCACTTTCCATTTCTGTCCATTTCTGTCTTTCATTCTCTAGCTCTTCATTGCAATTGTCATAAGAGAATACACCACTTTTTTGCAGTTGTGTGGATCTTGACACCAAAGAAGACCTTAGTTTGTCCGTAGACTTTTTAACTGGTGCATCATTACATAATTGCAGCTTGCTTCTTAGATTCTGAATTTCCTTAAGAAGTAATTCCTTCTCAGTTGAATCAAAGGAGACATCTCTTTGGGCTAACTCTTCCTGGACTTCTTTAATATCACATTTTTCCTCTATAATACAAGGTAAATGACCATTTAAGGAAATTCCCCGCAGAAGCTGCAAATGATATCAGAAAAAACAAATGAAAACTAACTTCCAACAGGAAACGCTTTATATTTATAAACCAGAACACATACAACAGACCTTTGCTTCATCTTTCATTGAGTTATAATCTTCACACTGACCATACACAGTAATGGAGTTCAGTTCTTTCTCTCCTTTCAATTTCTCCACCTGGAGACAAAACACATATCGTGAATAAATGTAAAAAATCCAAACTATATAGTTCATAAAGGAAGAATATCAATACCAGCTGATTTAGTTGCTCAATTCTAGCTGCTTGCTCCTTACAAACATTCTCGAGCTCCCTCTCTTTCATGATGCTTTTTGTCATTACATTCTCCAAATGCTTTATGGGGGGGAGGGGGGAATGGAGAAATGAGGTCAAGACAAGAAATATAATTTGAAAAAGATTTTGAGAAAAGTAAATCAAAACATACTTTTGGAATTTTATCTGTCACTGCATCACTGGAATCCTGACTAGATATTTTTGTCCGGCAAGATGCACATATGAGAGCAGCAGTTACTTCATCACTGGAAGGCTTCTGTTGTATTGTTTGATCATAAGATTCAGCCTTGTCAATTTCCAGACATGGTGTCAAAGTTAAGTGCTCAAAGGAGAAGGAAGATGAAGATTTGTTCAATGCTGAGTTCTGTTGGTGATAGTCAATAATCTGTAATCCCTTCTGAAGGCTTGCTGCCAAGGACTCAGCCTTGCTAGACTGTAATGAGGATTGCACATGCTCACCCTGTTTAAATGGTTTGCTCAAGACATTGTTACTGAAAGTTGAACTCTCTCCCACATTGTTCCAACTGCCAAGATAACTCGATGAAATAGTCACACTTTTCCTTTGACTTTTGCTGAATTTTGGAGATTCAGACAACTGTGGTCCGGCAAGTATTGGAGATTGACTACATGAATTGACTGAAATGCTATCTCTCAATGTTTTCCCACGGCATACCTCAGCCTTTTCAATTTCATCAGCACTGGTGGCGTCTGCATCGCAATTTTCCTCAACAGAATAAGACTGGACACAATCTTCATCAACAGATATGCCCTTTGGATTCCCATCACGTGAACTATCTAATTCATCAATTTGCTTGCGTAATTGCCTTATGTCATCTTCATTGACATTTATATGCTCATCAGTATCACTATCTATGTTGGATAGGAAAAGAGAGTGGTTTAAGCTGACTCTCATCTGATTCAGGCTTTCCTGCACATTATGTCCTTGGAAGTATCCATCTTTACTCCCAGCTGAGCTATGAACATCAGCCTTTGCTCTAATAAGTTCTTCCTGAACCATAGAAAATACAATGTAATTCAAAGATTTGAAATTTTGAATAAATAAGATTAATCTTTCAGTAACTACAACCAGTGACAAGTCCAGGAATATACCTTCAAGTGTCGGATAGTATTACCCAAATCAATATCAGGCTCCTTCACTACATTGATAACTGGCTCATTTCTAATGGATCTTACTTGCTCCCCAAATCTGAGTGTGTGCAGTGTTTCATCATTACTCCTACAATCAACAAATGCAATATTTATTTCTAGAACTCAAAAATACTCTACAAATAACAAATTTTGGTCTTCAATCCAGGTAAATACTTGTTATCAGGGGAGATGGAACATATTACTGAGAGTTTGGCATTTCCACCAAGTGATTCTTGGAGTAAGCGTGTTAAACAGGAGTCACTGTGTGGAATGTCTTCATCTTTTCCAGACTGAAATTTGTTACACAGAGCATCCACTAAATTCCTACACCAATGAAATAGAAAACAATCATGGTGATGAACTTGGCCATTAATTAGTGATAGAAGCAACTAGCTCACAAGTACCAGGACAAGGATCCTGCTCCACAAGGAATAAAAGAAAATATTACATTAAATAAATGGAATTATCTAGCACAGTAACATAAGAAAAGTAATTTGTCATTTTATGTTTCAACCTGCATAATAGCAAAAGCCATTCACTCAGACTGTAGAAATTATAAATAAGAATTAAGAGGCTTTTCAAAAGAGCTTTTTACAATTTATTTGTGCTTGCCTTATGATATAAGTGTTTGGGAGAGCTTATAATGCGTTTCCAGCTAATTTTAATATGCTCTCCAGGATAGCTTATGAAAACAGCTTACAGCTCATATGAAAATTGTTTAATTCTATTTACCCTTCGATTATAGAAACTTATACATAATACGTATGTGATAAGAACTTATTCAATAAGTACTTAACTCAGTCCTTTACCCAAAAACACCCTAAGAAGTAATTTAGTCGTGGCATTTTCTTACTCAAGCTGGGATAATGATTTCTCTGCATGTCTGCCGCTACCTCCATCATCAACTTCATCCCTGTCTGGTCCAGCAAGATCAATAAGGCTGATTCTGCTAGTTTTTGAGCTACTCAAACCCTTTGTGGTTCCCTGCAACATCAATTTATGAAAATAATGTTTAGCAAAAAAAACAAACTGGGAAAATTGACAATATAGACCTGCCCTCAATCTTGGAAAAACAAAAGTTTCCCTACACAACTGCTGTCTGCAGGTAATGTTAGGTAGAATTACAAAATTTGGTAGTACCTTACACAACGACTCAATGACAACTGTGAAAATTATATGTGATCTGGAGCTATTAGAATTTAAGCTCGTTGCTCCAATTTTTCTCCTTGAAAGGCCCTGCAGCATATATGAACAAATGAATTTAGATGATAAAGATTAAAAAGAACTGCAGCAATGCATAGAATATCAGCTAACAAAAACAAGCATTCAGCTTCTCATAACTTGTATCTAGATATCTAGCTTTAAACAATATATGCTTTGATGGCTCCATACCTTAATCAGAATTTGTGCTACATCATCATAGTTAGTTATGTATTCCTCGATCAGATTCTCAACATATGGTGCATTTCTGAAATCATCCTTCATCTGCAATAATTTTGACCAAGGCATATTTATAATAAGCATGTAAGCTGTAGCAACTAGAAACACAAAATAATATGTTGATAAAAAATTATACCATAAAAGGATGGCAGCATATGCCTACCTCAAGGTTCTGTTGTATAGGATTGAGTAAATTCCCAATTCTTTCATTGTTTATCTGTTTTATAACATGGATCGAAAGAAGAAGGAAGAAACATATTAGGAACATTAAGCGACAAGCTCATTGCTAATTTGGGAGACTTTATTGAGAAAATCAAGTTCAAATTTACCTCAAGAAATGACAAACGACATTGATAGCTGAACTGTTTCTGATCAGATGTAAGTCTTCTCTCCTAGTATTGTAATTCAAACTCAATCATTCAAAATTAAAAATAAAAAAAACATGATGCAAAATTACTATATTTAGCAATTAGTAATTCAAGTTGGAAATAGAACATACTCTCTCAAGCTCAGAAAATAACATTCTGAAGATCCGAGGAACAATTCCGTGGTGACTAGAATTAGACTCCTCAACCATGGCACTTGGAGGACCCCACATTGTGTAAGACTTTCCACTTCCAGACTAGTATATAAGTATAACACAAATTGGAAGGGAGTGAAGAAATGAACGTCACACATTTTTTCACTAAAAAGTTAAAAGAATAGACAAGCAAGCATCAAAATGTACCTGGCCATATGACAGAATTGTAGTGTTGTAACCAGCTAAAGTATTTCGAACTAAGGGAACACCCACTGACTGGAAAACTTCTTCCTGGACATACAACAGCTCATAAATCACATTCATGATCATGATTGATCTTCTCTTACACAAACCAAGCAACAAAGTACAACATTGAATCAAATAAGGTAAAGTCCTCACTCCCTCATTCTAATAGAAGACTAATCTAATTTCAAAATACCCTTTTTTCTCACATCATGCAAAATAATTGAAGACTTGAACCAAAATCAAAATTACATAGTGAAGTGAAGTTCTTGCTACCTGACTGGAGTTGGAATCAAAAACTTCATCAAACGTGAACTTTCTGTCCCCAACGCACAAGGCATCAGAAGAAACCTTCTTAATTTTCCAATTTCCCTCTTTTCCATTGCTATTTTCAGGTCTAATTCTGACCACAACCTGCTCCAAAACAACACATATCATAAGCAAAAAAAAAAAAAAAAACATTTTTTTACACGCTCGTTACTGGGGTTATGGAGTACAGCTTGGATGTTGAAATGTAACCCAAAAAAAGCAAACTTTGAACTTGCCTTCACATGTGAGTTGCTTTGGGGAAATGGGTCGTCGGGCTTTGATTGGTGGTGAAGATTGAGAGGAATGTTTGGATGGGTAGGGGGAGTGTTTTCAGCGTCAGATTTTGGGTATTTAGGGTTCGAAGAACAAGAAATGGGTTTGCGATTAGAAGAAGAGAATGATCTGATAAAATTGGAAGAAATGCTTCCCAAGAAACCACTAGAATCTGCGTTGTTCTTCTTTTGCCTCATGATTTTTAGCAAATGAAGGCAAAGAAGAAAGAGATAAACAAAGAGAGAGAAAGAGAGAAACAAAGAGAGAGAGAGAGAGAGAGAGAGTTGGGATTCAAACGTTGGATGGAGAGTGAAGTGAAGATGAAGAGTGTTTGTAATTTGGAGTAGTTCACAGGGAAACGAAGATGAACGTTATGACATTTTTATCGGAAATTCCTAAATTGTCCTTTTTAGTTTATGGGAAAATCATTGCTTTTAAACAACGGTAGTATTTTATTTTTTGTATTCTGTTTATGACACTTATTTTTAATTTAATTTTGTGATTAATTTAATTCGTGTCTGTATAACTTACTTTCAACATCGCACATGTCTTCTTGTCATAACATCGCAAGAATTGCACTTACAAGCATGTAAAATAAAGTGAAAATTGTTGTTGCGTGCGTATATATGCATTAAACTTTAAAGTTTAAAATGTCTTTTATTTGTTTATTTATTTAAAATGTCTTTCACTCAAACTTAAAATTTTAGTTTTGTCCAATTTTACTCGAAGTAATAATTAGTTTGTAGTTAAATTTATAAAATATTATTAATATGATATTTTTATAATATTATTTTTTGTTTGTTTTTATTGACTATTTTATCTCACATTTTTCTCATTATTTTTTAAATGAAAATATACAAACACAATTTCCCTAATCAAGGTTGAGCTAATTTTAATGGTTTGAGAATGATAATGAAAACCCATACGCTAAAATGGTGATTATAAATAAGAATTCAACTGTTTTTTTACATAAAATTTAAATTAATATTAGTGTAAAAAAACATTAAACTCTGGTTCAATTAGAAATTGTAAAGTATAATAAGATCGTTGCTTTCATACTAAATTCTTTGAATCCTATATGTAAGATAATTTTAAATTAATTAAGAAATATAAAATATTTTCAGTAAAAGATATTAAATTTAGATTTTATAAATATTACGTCAAAAATAATAATTAATTATCATGAGGTTAACTTAATGAATAGAAAAAATGAATTGAAGAAATCTTTGTAATTTTTTTTATGAATTAAAAAAATCAATTATATATAATAGATTTGTTAGTTTTAATTTTTTTATTCATAAGCTTACTTGTTAACTTTAAATTACCCAAAGTCTTTTTTATTGCTCAAAAAGTTCAAATAATCAAATTTACTTTTATAGTGGAAAAAAAATATAGTGAAAAAAATAATAAAGAAAACGCATCAAGAGACAGGTGAGGCACCGAGGGGCAAAATTGTCCATGCTGGAAATTAGATTCAAATAAGTAGTCGTTGAGGCCGGTGGGACTGACTTTCGCTTGGTTTCCCTCCTGTCATCTTTAACAATCAATTATTAATTATTCATAACCATAGATCAAAAAGGTAATTATTATTATATAAAAGTTATTTAATTGTTTTAAATAATTTAAAGTATTTAGAGTGTCTTTTATCATTTTTTTTTACAAAATAAATTTTTTGTAAAAAAGATAGTTTTAAAAAAACTTTAGTATGCTTATTTATTTATAAAAAAAAACAGGTGAGCTTCCTGAGTATTTTGGTAAATTATCTTGAATAATTTTTTAAAAGAGAAACTAAAATTATACTAAGCTTTCAAAAGAGAATATATTTTTTCAAAATTGTAACTAAACAAAGAAAAAAAAAAGTGTTTTAATACTACATAAAACTCTAGGAAAAAAATTATAAAAAAAAACGTTTTCATATAAGGTGAAGTATTATGATTTTTTTTAACAATGGGAAATAAACAGCAACTACAAGGTTATTAAATCACTTCCTAAGGTTGTTGTAATCCACAAGGAAATTGCTCTCAAGTTTGATCTCAATCCGACTAGATCCCCATGCAACAAGAATATTGGTAACTTTGTTCATCTCGAAGAATATTAGAAATATGAGATCACAGAGATTATGGAAAATACAAGTTACATCATAAAGCTTAAAATAAAATAAAGGACTACCATAAAAAATTATTCTATAATATTGATAAAAGATACAATATCAATATATAAATACTCTATTTATAAAGTTCATGTGTAACAACTCCAGTCAAATAATAACAAACTAAACGATAATTATATCAAACTACTCTTAACATAGAACAAACTCCATGTAATACTATCAATCCTAGATAAAATAGACCAGCGTTGGACAAAAAAAATATTATACTCATAAGATTTTCCTTTTTTTTACATCGGAATGCATTTTTTTTTTTTGTTGAGCATAATTTTAAATTGGTATTCAAATATATAATAATATACCTGTATATATATATAGAGATGATATCCTAACTCCTCTTCAACGTTTTAATACTACACAACTTCAAGATAATGTTTTTCATAATTAGTTCAAGTTTATTATCTATAATAATTTGTTTTCTTCATAATAATTCTATCCGGCTTAGATGTGTAAAAAAATATCTTAAGCATTTGGCAATACAACGATCCATTTCAACGCACCAATTTTAATAAATAAAATGATGTTCATTTATAAACATGAAGTTGCAGCTACCATATTTTGATTCTAGCATGAAGTGGGGATTAGAAAATATAATGATCCATTAAGTCACTATACTTAATACAGTACAACTATGCAGTTAATAAAGAATCAATTGACATAGACATGCATTCAATAGATATTATGTATAGGGTATAGAAAACGTAAAGTAATTCCTACCAATTTTAACTGAAAAACATAAATCCTCTTAAGAGGTTACAATAAAATAATGTGCATATATATAACTACACATCTAATAAAGCATACTAATAACACAAAACTTGGCTTTGGTCAAGCATTTCTAAAAACATGTTATATCAAAATAGCTCAACAAGACATAAAAGACATCTCCAATATGGCTATTCACCAAGCATGCCCTCCAATCTAATCATGTCTTTCTAACATATTAAGTATGATCATTACAATCCAACCACATAGAAAAGTAAGGATAAGTTTGTGAAAGAAAATAACATACATCAAGTAAGTAAGTAACAACTTCATCAACATAAACAACTTAAAGTAATGTATTAGCTTTTCAACTTAAAAGCATAACTCAACTTCAACATCATCTCACAACTTAACAACTGAGGATAATCAACTAAACAACTCAAAATCATTTAACAACTGAACAACTGAAAATCAATAAGGAAACTGAATAATCAACTTATATTCAACTGATAAACAACTAAACAACTTACAACTTAACAACTTACAACATTCTCAACATAAATAATTTTAAACAATTAATGTGTCACAAGGCATATATACTTATGAAGATCTTCCTTGCAATAGAAGTTAGCAGTCTAAGAAGTTTGACTCTATCGAACTACAACGTCTAACTTGTCTTCTTTAGGTCATATAGACAACTTCAAGCATAGTTTAACAACTTATTTTGGTGTCTCAAGTTTCACCACTTACATTAGAAAAGTCTAGTATCCATCATCAAGAATAGTATAATTTAGGTATAAATCCTTCACGCCTTTGGCAAGCACTAACCAAGTCACCTATGGACACAACTCGCTAACTATCCTCGCAATACGTACCACACACATTTTCAATAATCAATTAAGGATTTTACCTCTCAACTTCATAACTTACTCAATTGGTCATTTCATACACGTATGGTTCAACATGGTCCCTATATAATTCCACATAAAACCTAGAAGAGACAACTTAAAAATAACTTATCATTCAAGAGCCAACTTACTTATTGAAGGGTTCTCAACTTTGGGCTCTCGGAACACCACAATATATATCCACACAATGGAATATTTTAATTCCTAAAACTACTCTACTTTCTTCTAGTTTTTATATATCTCAACTTAGACATGTATCTTGTCACCACATATTCATACAACTCATCATCGTACAACTTCAATAATAAGCAACTTTCAACTTAAGTTACTTAAGCTTATAAATAACTTTCAACTTTAACAACTTAAATCAACATCATATATCAACATATAACATGTTACGAATTAGATTCAATTATCATCTTTCAAGTATTTTACAACATCATGAGCAACTTATATTTACAACTTAAGCACTATGAATAAATCAACACGATTTTTACAACACTAGGAATATTATCCAATTCAACATAAACAACTCAACATGTTTCGTTCCAACCACCTACAACATGATTCATCAATCACAAACAACATAATATAACACTAAGCCATAATTATTTAACTTGTAACAACAATATGATAGGTAAAAGCATGAATATCTTAAATGTCCCAAAAATCGTCCAACCAAATTAATTTCAAAATGGCCTCTACCTTATTTTCGTCCAGCCATAAAAATTTGGCCCTACCAATTTAACTTGAAAAAACCTTTTAAATGAATTTATCTGAATTTTGCCTAATCAAGAAAATTTGACCCAATCAAATTAATTTCAAAATGGTCTCAGCCCCAATTTCGCCTGACCAAGAAAATATGGCCAAACAAAATTGTGTTGAACCTATATGCAAAATCACTATTTTTGGACTTTCAACCTCATCAACTCATCTATAAGTTCAAAAATGGAAATACAAACCATAGGAACAATTTTAAACAACTTAGATAACACAAATCCAACTTTAGATTCAACATGCAATATAATTACATTAAGAAATCATTAGTTTTGGATTTTTGTTCATCAACCCCAAAAACCTCAATTTCACCATCTTCAACAACTACCTCAAAACAACAAATTAAGCCACCAATGGAAAAATCAACAATAATTACAACATGTAACAACTTCAAAGAATCAAACAACAAGCTTTTGTTATCTCGATTGCTCTAGAAAACAAGAAAAAAGGGAAGAAAACTTAAGAACCCCAAATTTTGTATGATGACTTCTCTCATGATTCCCATCTCCTCAACTTAAATCTTAGCTTCTACTACACCACCTAATGACCAGGGGGGAAAAAGAGGTGTTTCAATAGAATCAGATCAAAGATCGGATTTTGTTAGCTCCATAGCACCTATATCTAACTTCTCTCTAAAATTCTAGAGTTATGAACTTATGGAGTTGATTTCTCAAAATTTACCTTATATACCTCAGCTCTCCTCAAGCAACCAACTCTTACACATTTAAGTTATATCATTTTATAACTTAAGCTTAGAGTTATCTTAATTCTAACTT